GAAACGCACATGAGGAGAAGGCGTTATACAGCGCTACGTACGACGTCTGAAGGTACTTGTCCGCTGTTTTGGTGTCGGCGACATCTTTCTCTTGGGGTACAGTACTACGATGCCTCTGGGGTCACTCCCACCCCCAGAACTGAGCCTCTACTTTAGTCAATCCTCTTTGCATCACATTTTCACTGTTTATCAACTGGCTTCTGCGTTTACCTGCCCTTTTTCATACAATTCTTGCATTTTTTGTATGGAATATCCAAAAGAATATTATCAAAACGAGTGGAGGTTTTGAATTAAAGATAAATAAAGGTTGTTAGACTTTTCACAGTCTTGGGGCATCATGGCAGACGACGATTTCGATGGAGACGAGTAAGTACTTAACCTCACAAGACGTGCAGACATTGTTATTATATTTCTACTAGACTAGAATATCGCTAACTATAATTTCCTTTTTTGACTTGGTGAAACTCTCCAACGAGGCTTGGACTTGTAAGAGATTTGTCATTCGTTTTCTTAAAGAACTCAAAAATTGTGAATTTTTCCTGACATTCTAGGGTAGCAGATGATTTCGATGATGCAGATGAGGATGACAACATTGAACTAGAGCAGCAAGAAGAGGAAGGAGATAATTTTGAATTGCTTCAATCTGGAGAAGGAAATGCTGGTGTTCAGAAATCCAAGAGGATAACTACAAGATACATGACGAAGTAAGTATGTTTGAACTCATGAGGGATACTGGGATAATATGGACACCTAGGGTAAAACGAACAACCATTAAAAATGGTTCTATTCTTAATTTTTTATATTTTTCTATGTTAAAACCATATTTCTGGGAAATCTGTTTTGAAATTGTTTGCATTTTAGAAATTTCAAATTGGAATGCCAATTAACACTCGCCACAAAAGTATTGTTAAAAAATTACGAATGACTCATTTTTACAGACAATGACGGTTTCCATGAATTATTTCTACGTAATCATTTTTTCCGCCTGATGATTAATTTGGAATCATAACCGATTTTTTAACATTCATAACCATAATTCAATTAAACTGTTCTCAATAATTTATTTTATTGATAAGAAATTCTTATATATTCTGTTGTCTCAACTTTTCCTGTGCTTCATTAAAATGTGAGATAGACCTTGAGATATTGTTAAATACTCCTTGGACTTGAAAAGGTGCAGAAGTAAATGTAATTTATGCAATTTTTAATGTAGATATGAAAGGGCTAGAGTTCTTGGCACACGTGCTCTTCAAATTGCCATGTGTGCCCCAGTCATGGTGGAGCTCGAGGGCGAAACTGATCCCCTGCAGATCGCCATGAAGGAATTAAAACAGAGAAAAATTCCGATCGTCATCCGAAGGTACCTCCCAGACCACAGCTACGAGGACTGGGGAATTGACGAGCTCATTATTACAGATCATTAAACATTTTTCATTCAATCAATT